AGACTGAAGTAACTTACTGAAGATCCACGGCCAGGAGGTGGGAGAGGACATAAATCCAGCGGTCCAGCCCCAGAACATGCGTCCTGATCCATTACACACTCTTAACTAAACTGCATGACTAAGGTAAGGGCAACCTGAACATGAGGTGATTTGTCATGTGCCCAATGAGAAGATTACAAAAAATATTTTTTATCAACTGGAATATATGTACATTTGGGGATATAGATACAATTATCAACTGTCTAAATGCTGTATCTATATCTATCTATATTTATCTGTCTATATATATCATATTAGGTAAAATAGTGCATTGATTAGAAATATTGCCATTTTTCATATTCATATTATGTAACTGAATAACAATACAGTCTAGTGGTTTAGCACAACGACTCAGGAGCCAGACTGTCAGGGTTCAAATCTCAGGTCCACTATCTCTTTGCCCAGTGATGTTTGACGAGTTATTTGGCCTCTGTTCTAATTCCATCATGTGTCAAATACACAGCACCTACCTTATGGGGTTGTTAGGAAAAGTAATTGCGTTAAAGGTGGGAAGTGCTTAGGGCAGTGCCCAGCCCTCAGCAAGGATACGCATGGGTGTGAGCTGTTACATTTTCCAAATGCTTCATTTACACCTTTGGCATCATGAGAACCCAGTCCTCTGATGCTGTTTTGTTTTTGTTTTTCTTTCACATTATCTCCCCTTCTAAGTTATTTGAGATTTAGAACTTTCAGTAACTTTCACTGAAATTCTTATTGCAAACCACAATATCCTTTCACCTACCATTAGAAATGTTTTTATTTGCTATTTCAGAGGCAATTTGTGATTTCCACAGTGAAAATACTTACAGTATTGCTTTAAAATGATCTTTAAAAGACTTATTTTTACAACAACACGAGGAACTTAACAATATTGAAGTCAAAGACCTGGAACAATTATTAAATTACTGTTAAATTTATTTCCCTTTTTAAAGGCCAGTTCTGTCCAAAAGCATCCAAGGTTATTACAGGCAAATTTGCCTTTCTAAAACAGTAATTTCTTGTTCAAAGTATAATAATTTAAATAACAGAAGCAGAATTTGATAAAGAAACTCTTCATTATGAGGGGACAAAGGATAATTTGAAGAAAATATACTTGTCATATTTGGGATATGGGGATACATAATTAATATTCAGGGATAGTGAAAACATTGGTTTTTAACATCATTATCAGGTCGCATTGTGGAACTTGACATGATAAGCACACAGTTGCCAAATCCCCACCTCATTTGGTGCTTGTGGATATAGCTAAACGTAGGGGGAAACTATGTTCAAAACGTGATTTTCTGGCCCAATTTCCCATGACATATTTATTATGAAACATAGGGGAAAGAAAGCAACTCTAAGGAATCTAAGTACAATTTCACTGCCATTCATAAAAATTATTTTTTAATGTGTTTATGAAGTATGCAAGAATGTTAGTTTGTGTACTAGCATAATTGTCCAACTATCCAAAAAATATTACTCATGATTAGAATGTTCTTTCCTTTTTCATTACAAATTAGGTAATTGACACACTAGGTCCAGGGAAGGACTAGAATTGCTACAAGTGCATTTCATGTTCCATCATCTCTTGACGTGGTTGAGGCTTT